GAGGTTCTTATTTCTAGTTGGGAACTTTATTACTGAGCAATGGGATCTCCTATTGTTCTAGTTTGGATTCTCTAAGAGCAGACCTTAAGATAAGACTTAGATCAGATAGCTTATTGTGCCTTTAAAGTCTGGATTAGAGGAAGGCAGAGAAAAATAATAAATTTTTGTGAATCTCTAATTGCTTTCCATAGTAATTTAAAGATAAATAATAAAGAAAAAGCTAAAAACATTACTTGCTAGATATCTACATGAATGTTCCACCAGTATCTCAGACATTTCTAAAACCCAGCTAGCATTACCCAAGTACACTCTCCAGTCCTCTACCCTGCACTTTCTTCTATTCCAAGTCTTCCTTTTGGTTATTTTGTTTTTGTTTCCTGTTGATCTGGGTTTTGTTTTGTTTCATGGTATCAACATTGTCCCAGGCACCTGGCCTAAAAATGTCAGTCATGTTTAACTTCTCCATATCACCTGTACCCGACATAATGACAGTTTTTTTCTTTCCATTGTGTATATCAGATCTTTTATTTTCCTGCTCTATACTCTCCCTCAGTTTAGCCCTTGGAACTGTTCTTCATGCCTATATCATTTGTCAGCAGTCACCTGTATCTGTTCTGCCCACTGTCCATGACATTCATGTTTGACCATGTGCTATTGTTCCGAGACATATATCTTCCTTTTATATCATAATCTGTTTGAGATTAGAACCTACTTTTTACATATTTTTACATCTACCAAAGGACCTACCACACTGTTTTGTATGTAACAATGAGTGAGCACAAATCTATAAATATCTGTATTTCCCTTTATTTATGCCACTGGGTGATATGAAAAGTTTAAACCATGTAATGGACATTCAAAAAAAAAAAAAAAAAAACAAGTACCTGCTATTTTCCTGGCAGCATATTAAGTGCCAAGGATATGGTGAAAAACAACCTAACAACTCAATTCATGTTTCCTCTCATATTCAGTGAGGAAGGCATGATGAAAAAACCAAAGGAAGAGAGAAATGTGTGTGTGTGTGTGTGTGTGTATGATTGTAAATGTAAGTTTCCTGAAGAAAATGAACAGAATTGTCATTTGTTGACCTATTTTAAATTGGATGGGCATAAAACCCTCTTTAGGTGGGAGGGGAACTTCAAGATGAGATGGAAGGAAGAGGAGGAAACCTCAAAAGTCAAGAGGCAATGTGTCTAGGTGGAAAGATTAATATGGGCAAAGATCTGGAAGATGAAAAGACTTTAATCCACTTACATAAATTAAGAAAGGCAGATGTGGCAAAGCAAAAGGATCCAGAGAGGGGTGGCCACTAGTAAGGCTGGTGAAGTAATCAGAGTCCAGATCATAGGATCATTTTAGTCCATGCTAAATGTGGTCTATACTGTAAGAGCAGTGGGCAACTCAAGTATCTAAGCAAGAGACTGGGTGCACAATTTTTAAAGTTCACTGTTCACTTTTATGTAGAACACTGCTGAGATGAGGGAGAGGTAAAGGGAGACCAAATTGCAAATCTTTTAAGAGCTCAGGTGAGAATATAGCATCTGGGGAAGGGTTAGTCGCAGTGCTGGAGGGGTGCTTTTGGAGGGTGGTGACCAAGTCTGCAAATACTGCTTCAGAAGTGGGAGTGTTACAGAAAAGAAAGGAGGAGAAGGAGGAGGAGGAGAGGAAGAAAGGAAAAAGAAGAGGAGAAGGAAGAAGGGGACGGGATTTGAGATATATTTTGCTGGTCAAATTAGTAAGACTTAGTGATTGATGGGTGAAATGTTGGGAATAGGGAGAGAAATCAAGGATAACTTCCCAAATATCTGACCTGAATGATTAGGCAGATAGAGGGCTGTTTTCTCTAAGGGAAGAGATTATGTGGAAGGACAGTTTAGGTTGGGATGAGAGCTCCAAAAATCAGCTTCAGATAGGTTACATGCACAATACCCACTAGGGAACTCAGTAGGGATGTCAAGTAAGCTATAGGACATATAAACCTGAAGCTCAGAAGAAAGGTCCAGGCTGGAGATTGAACTGAGGACTCATGATATTTAGACAGCAGTTAAAAACAGAGGGAAAAGGTTAAAACTCCTAAAGAGGGAGCATGAATAGGAAAGGAAGGAAAGCCCAGAGTTCAGCCCTGAAGCTTTCTAGCACTTTTGGTGGAAGGAAAGAATCCAGCATAGGAAATTCTGAGTAGCCAAAAAGGAAAGTGAGTAAAAGCTTTAAAAGGTTTTATTTCTTTTAAAGAAGAGAAATACTCATTTGTGGTAACTGAAAAGTTGGGCAAGTCCATGGCAGAATTGTCTCTACTGGATCCCTTCAAGGGACTCACATTTGCATTTTATCTACTACTTTTGAGTTCTTAATGCAACTGCTGGCACACAGTGGGCACTTAATACATATCCATCAAATATTATACATGAATTGAATGACTGAATAAGTATGATTGACAGTGAAAGGTTGGCATAAATCATTTCAAAAAGTCTTCCTCTTCCTCTCCCTCCACTACCCCCTCCTCCATCTGATTTTCACACCCTGGGTTAAGAAAACTTGGGGCTGATATGATGAGTAAAACAATGGCCATTTCTAGAAAGGTAGTGAATCAAAACCATAACCAGAGAAATAAGGGTCTTTCCTATCAATCACTTGGCTGGCCCCTTCTCATGCTAACTCTGTTATGCAAAGAATTGTGTTGAGTAATTTTATTGCTTAAGATTTTGGTGAAGCAGGAGAAAAAAAAGAGGTGGGAGCTCAGACCTGCATCTTTGGCTTTACTGGTGTCTGGAGGGTGTGGGAGTGGTTTCAATATCCTTATTTCCCAAGCCTCAACTGCAGGTTTTGTGACTGCAAAATAAAGACTTACATAATACAGAATAATGACAATGTTACCTAGATATAGCACTGAGTTGAAATCAGCAAGTAAGTTTACTCGGAAACAAAACAAAGCACACTGTATTACTGCACAAAGAGAGCAGGACCAGTGGCTTTCTGGAAGCCACTTCATTTTAATAGCAGATTCACCACATACCATTATTAGCCTTTCCTTTGTTGCAAATAATAAGAGAAAGTTAATATTCCTCTTGTGTTTTTTTAAGAGTAAAAATAATTGGGTTGGGTCTGGCCAGAATATCCTAATACTTCACAAACATCTCAAACTCTGCATATCTAAAGTTGAATCCAACAATGCCCCCCAATAGTGTGTATGCAAACACATCTTGAGGGTTTTTTTCCAATGGTTTTTTTTTCTTCTTGAATGGTAGCACCACACACTTAATTTCCAAATCCAAATCCTTGGCTTCTTCCTGACTTCTTCATCTCAACCTCACACTCATTAATCAATGGTACTACCAAGTTCTATTAATTTATCTCATTAGTCAATGGTGCTACCAAGTTCTATTGATTCAAGATACCTCTTGAATCTGTTTTTCCTCCTCTTTCCTTCCAGCTACTTCAGTTCAAGCCACCACCGCCCTCATTTATTGCTCTAGAAGTCTTCAAAATCAAGCATGTTAAGCAAGTGCTCTACCATCATGCTGCACACCCAGCCTTTTTGTAATTGCTGCTGTTGTTTTTAATTTGTAGACAGGATCTCCTTAAATTGTCCAAGTGGGCCTCGTATTCAGTCTTGCTTTCAAATGTCTGAAATTCAAAGCTGACTAAGACAAATCCTTCCACAGCTTCCTCTCAGCTCCACCACAGAGGTTAAAGTTCTTAACCTGCCTTCTGGAGTTCAACAAGTGTACCTGAACCCTAGTCAGTCTCACAGAACTAAACTTGTGTGGGGGCAGCTAAATGCTCCAGCAGCAAACTCTCCTTAGTTACTCTGCCTGGACAGACTGGAGCCCTCCCTTTTCCTCCTAACAAAACCTGACTCAAGCCTCTTTGTCCTTCAACTCTCTCTGCAAGCGTCCTTAACACATCTGAACTTTCTCTGGCTAATAAAAGTCTGCCTATGTTTGACTGAAAATCTTAAAGGAAACAGGAAAGTCCTACCCTGTTCATGTGGGAATCCTGAGGGTCCAGCAAAGTGTCCAATGAAATATACTGAATCAGCCAGCAAGTGCTTTACTTGTGTGTCTGCCATCACAATTTAAGATGTGCTATTTCAGTATAGTTTTACTTGCGGACAAACCCTTTGACGAAGCCTTTTCTTTCTTCATTTGCTTTTTTTTTTTTTTTTTTTTTCATGTAGCAACAGTGAATGACGGGACCTGCCCCTCCTGCAAATATCAGCCTAAGTAACCACCTATGTCTGTCTCTGGTTGGTCGGGCAGGCAACTCAAGGCACATCTGGATTGCGTTAGGATGAGAATTCTCATCCCGTACAGGTGTGTTGTTTTGTGGGTCTACAGCGGATTCTCGGAGGTTCATTATGACCTTGACCTCACACTAGGTCTACACCCCTAATGGCTTGTGTGTTTCTTGGCAACTGTATGGTTGTGAAGAGATCATGGAGCAGCAGGGGTTGGAATCTGTTAAAGTGAGGCTATTCACAGCGGTTCCTCAACCCAGCCTCTCAATTGGGGTCAGCAACGGCACGAGTTGCTGCTGCTGTTTAGATTGAAGCTGCTGCTTCGCCTGCTCACGCAAACGGGGCTTAAGAGGAAGTGTGGGGAGGAAGGAAGTGGGCATCAAAGGGTGCAGGGCTGTGAGTTTTGAAGAGACAAGCCATAACGTCTTTGTCGCCATAGAGTTCCCCAGTCCCCCTCAGGGAGTTCTTTTTTGTTATTATTTTGCTTTGAATTTATAGCCCATTGGGTAATTTCTCGGGGTGGTGGTGGTGGGGGGGGGGCGGGGTGGCGATACAGCACTGAACTATCAAAGAAAGATCTGCGGGTTCCGGTTGTAGTCTCAGGCTCCGGGTTTGAGGCTGGCCGCGGAGGCTGAGAGTTCACAATAGGGGCGTGCACCGGTCGGAGCCACATGGTGCCGCACGAAGGTCCCCACCACTGTTAAATTGAGAAGCCCCGTGTCACCTCCAGGTCCCTCTTTGCAAAGCCTCAGGAGGCCCCCCGGCCATCCCGCGCTTTGTGGGCTGGAAGGCCCGGGCCAGGACGCGCGTCCGGCGTAGCCAAGGTCCCCCAGCGCCCCCTACAGCTGCACGTGGGGGGAGACAGAGCCAGATCCTGCGCCTCCACACCACGCCCAGGACCCCACCCAGAGGCCTGCGCCCCAGGACCGCTCAAGCACCCGCACCTCCAGGCCTCAGAAACCGGGAGTGGGGCCCGGAGGGCGCGCGGCATCCCAGGCCGCCCTAGATCGCCCCGCCTGTGGCTGGCCAACTCCCTCTCCCTCCTTCTGTGTGGCTGTCCCTCCTTCCCTCTCGCCTGCCTGCGCCGGACACGCTGTGCTTCATCTCTTGGGGCGCTCTTCGCCTGGGCCAACCGTCGCATCCAGTGCAACTTCGGTGAAGTGGCCGTTTGGTGTTGAATGTTCCCCACCGAGAGCGCATGGCTGCGGAAGCGAGGCGCGGACCCGGTCCCCGAGGGGCCGCCGTCGGGGAAGCGGTGATGCTATTGCTGTGCCTGGGGGTCCGGACCGGCCACCCCTACAACGTAGACACTGAGAGCGCCCTGCTTTACCAGGGGCCCTCCGGCACGCTGTTCGGTTACTCAGTGGTGCTGCACAGTCACGGGGCGAACCGCTGGTGAGTGGAGTAGGAAGGATTCCAGCGCCCTCAGCATCTAAGAGTGGCAAGAGGAAGGGGCACCCCGGGAGAGTCTGTCCAGTTCCCCAGTTCAAACTTTCCTCCCTTCTGGAGGAGGCAAGAAGCCAGCGCGGCTCCCGCCAGCTTGCTGGAGATCTGCCCGGGAAAACTTATCTTGGGGTGGCAGGGCCCGGGGTGGCGTTGTGGTTCCAGGCCCTGAAGCCGCGGGGTCCGGGGGTGTCTGGCCCCTTGCGCTGGGTGGTGGGCGGAGGAGGCGGGGAAACTGCCCCACTACATACTGCACCGCTGCTGAAAGCCCGAGTTGAGTAGGTAGCCCCGCTCATGTCTCAGCGCACGTGCACGGTTCTCACTTCAGGCTCGTCGTGGGGGCGCCCACTGCCAACTGGCTTGCCAATTCTTCTGTGGTCAAACCCGGGGCGATTTACAGATGCAAGATCGGAAAGAATCCAAACCGGACTTGCGAACAGCTCCAGCTGGGTGAGTTGGGTCTGGGACTAGGAGTTTGTGACCTCTTTCCCTTATAGACCCCACTGTAGGGCAAATCCTGGCCAAAGTGGAGATGCCCATTTCTTCTAATTTCCAGTTTTAACTGCATACCACCCTTCTTTCTTAATATAGAAGTGGTTTCCTTCTTTCTGTCAATATTTTTCTCCTTTTATTTATTTATTTATTTATTTTCTGATGACAAAAGTACTAAGACAAACTCTGTTGGGGAATGTTTCTTAACTATCTCTTCCTCCCTCCTTGTAAAGCATGTTTTAAAGTCTCTCCACATATTAGGCAAGAACAGGATCCAACTAAGTCACAATTTAAGATTTTATTTCCATCTTTGACCTACCAACTATGTTAAAGAACAGGCTGAGGGGCAGGTCAGGAATAGTAGTTGGCATTGATCCCATATCCTGCCTTTTAGCCTAAGGACTTTTTAAATAAAGCTATATAGTTTTACTTAGAATATACCATGTGAAAGAAGGTCGCAAGGGAAAATTGGCATCTGCATTTGTTAATATAGTTTGCATGAGGTTTAACATTAATTTGGAGAGGAATTTTTCTCTCCCAAAACTCTCATATTACATAGATATATCTTTTTTTGCAGTCATTTCTTAATGTCTTAAGTTTGTGACCACTTAAAAAAATGTGTACAGATGGGGGGAGGGGAGAAGTTTCATTTTTCAAAGACAAAAGCACATTTACTGCACGTTAGTGCATGGAGAAAGAAAGGGGAACTAATATTAGTTTAGACATATCTTGTTCCTAACTCTTATACTGCTGTAGTTGCTTACCCCACCTCCAATCAATCCTGAGATATAGTTGCTATTGCTTCTAATTTACATCTGAGGGCTCTGACTCAGAGAGTTACAAGTACTTTTTCTAAAGTTACTAACCTAGAGAGTGGTAGGTGGGAGCCCTCAAGCCAAAGTCCTGCCTGCTTAGGCACAAGTCTAAGCATTTTCATCCCATGTATGCATCTTCAGTGCAAATTAAACTAAATGAAGTATCCAGTATTTTGTGTGCTGAACTGATGGATCATCTATAAGTGGTATATAAAAGTTCACAACTGGTATTTTCTCATATTTATCTGTGCTATAAATGGACTTTTGAGATTAGCTAGTTATTGAATCTTTAACTTTTTATAGCGGTCTTCACTTTTTCTCAAAGTGTAAAGCTGGCTTCCTTCATTCAGATGAATTCAAATAGTGCATGGACATAATGGAATTCTTGCTTTTAACTCAGCACCCATAAAAGCCCAGGAGTTGGCAGTAAACATGTATAACAGACCCTAGCCTCTTGTTAAGCATGGTCCACCCCAATAAGCAGACAAGAGATATAAAAAAAACATTCACAGATTTATACATTTGGAATTGTTTTGCAAAACATAATTTGCTAAAGATCTGTGGGATGAAGAATTAGGGAGTGAAGCAGACAACCTTGATCTGCCAGGGGATCTTGACAAGGTCTGTAAGGGAACAATTTCTTTTCTGCTGTCCTGCCAGTTTCTGGATCCATGACATTATAACTACTGGTATTTAGCACCTACTTCCTTCCTGGAAGGGGACTGAGCCTATTTCTGGATGTCAGTGTTTAACTGGAAAGCTCATGTCATATATTATATAATTTTAAAATATTGCTGTCAATTGAAGGAAAACTTAACTTCATTGGGCATGTAGAGTATAGTGATTGACTATAGAAATAACCTCAGAAAAATGTGAACATGGTAAATATGTGATAAACATAAATAAAGATTTATTGGATGGATGATTAAAGGTAAAGTGAAAGTTTGAATGTCATCAACTTGATGGATGAGTAAAAGAATTAGAAATGATAAGCCAAAGTGATTTTTTTGTCTTTGAAAATTTTGGTCAATAAAAATGTATTTACTGAGATAAAAGGCAAAAAGAATACAAGATTGCTAGTTAGTTAACTGGTTAAAACATGAATAGCTTTGAATACTTGTAAAAGTTGACTGAAGTTATTTTGCATCTAGCATTTTTTTTTTTTTTGGCAGCAAGATGTGTTTATTGAAATGTGACCGGTAAATAGTTTGTAAATTGTGATTACTGCTATTTCTCACATTTTCAGATAATATAAATATATTTTTTAATTTAATTTTTTATTGGTTGTTCACAACATTACAAAGCTCTGATACATTAGATTGAAGTGGGTTATGAACTCCCAATTTTTACCCCAAATGCAGATTGCAGAATCACATCAGTTACACATCCACATTTTTACATAATGCCCTATTAGTAATTGTTGTATTCTGCTACCTTTCCTATCCCCTACTATACCCCCTCCTCTTCCCTCACATCTTCTCTCTCTACCCCATCTACTGTAATTCATTTCTCTCCTTGTTTCTTTTCCCATTCCCCTCACAACCTCTTATATGTAATTTTGTATA